GAGATATTGACAAGTTAGAAGCTAGCAGAATAATGAAGTAAGTAGCATAGCAGAGGTATTTATACCAAAGAAGGTGCGATTCTAGAGACAAGCTATGATTCGTTAACATTAACTTTAGTAGCTACTTTTCCAGTAGCATTACGTAACGTAGAAGGATCTCGAATTTGGGAGAACAGATGAATTTAGGGGCGGGGGAATCACCAAATTTAGAGTGTTAATTTTGAGGTTAATTTTGATTATTTTTAAAGCGGCTATCGTATTTTGTTGTACCTTGCATATATATATATAATATTACAAAAACTTCTACAATAAAATTATTCCCAAAATACTGCTGAAATGCTGCTGAAATATTAATTAATTATAGACAAAAAGTAATAAATTTAGAATCGAAACAAAAACGACATCAAAGAAATGAAATATAAACTAGTACAATCCCTAAATCTCCCAATAAAAATGTAAAAAGATCCTATCAGTTCACTGTATTTAAATCAGAAGAAACCCTTAAATAATATAAATGCAAAAATATTTAAAAAAGAAAAAGAAGAGGAGCACTATCAAAATCTGATTCAACGTTATTAAGGTCGATCAAATCCCAACCTCATAGGAAAATCGCTGTGTTTATACGTATTTACCCAAACTCAGCTGATGAACAATTTTAAATTATTTCATCATTATAGTTCATACGAAAATTTCGAATGCTTCCTCTACACAGTCTCCTTCCATTCTGCAATACATAAAAACAAATATAAATGAAATAAACTCCAATCACTATGCTGCCTGCACCATGCTAATTGGACTATCCTGTCCGTAGACGTGAGCGGGACGCAAACAGCCAGTCTTCTGGAAAACAACCCTCTATCATTCAGTCTTTTGGAAACAGTCACCCTTGTTACACGTGTCAAAGATGCACGGGTTTCTATGGATGCATACAGGTCCCGAGAGAGCTGAGAAGCTGTAGCCCCTCTGTTACCCCTCGCTAAAATGGACAAATAGCGATCTTTTCTGGCTGCCGTGAGTCTTGGATGACCTTGCTCCTCTCTCAATGGATCCAGTATCCTGGATCTGTTTCCATAGGTTACACACGTCGCTGTACGTGTTCCATAGGTTATACACGACGCTGAGAGATTAAACTCTCTGCATATCTGGACTTGCGATTGGCCTGCCTCTACCCTCCACACAATTCGCCACCTCATTTCATCATCTAAACGTTGGTGGTTAATCATTTTTACTGTTCCGATGTGAATTTAACCGATTGCTGTAAAATAACACCAAGAAATTCGCCGAGGTGTGTTAGCGAACGCAATTCGTCTTACCCTCCATAGGCTTTTAAAGCCTATTTTTCTGCTAGCTTCGCCTACACACGCGTTTACGCTTACGTATTTGACGTACAAGATTTGCATTTTTATCTAGAAACAGTGGTTTTCTTTCAGTTCAGGTCTTTTCATGAAATTCGATAAAATATGCAAATTCTCTTAATTTATTTCCCTAGTGTATTTTGTGTGTGTAAAATAAAGCCGGTAACATGAAACTTGAGACCACTTCCTAATCGTATGTTTTCCGTCCTCATACATAAGTCAGATTATAGTATGTTGCTCAATGTTTTTAATACAATGCAACTTCCCTCTTTTTCTTTTTGTCCTCATGCTTAAGTTATATTGTGTTGCTAAATTTTGCAATAGACAAGCATGCTCTTTTTCAAATCCACTGCTAAATTTTATACTTCCACGTCTCTTTCTGTTATAAATTCTACTATGTAATTAAAACGTATCCTATAGTACTTAGAAGATGAACTAGTTTATGTACTGATGAAACTTCTAAGTTCAGTGGAACGACTGAGCAAGCTAAATATAATTTCTGATAAATTAATAAGATACTATTAATAAAAATTTTTATTCTAAAAATAAGCTTATAAATAATTTCATAACTTTCGTACTTACACAATTATAGTCAATATTGCCGTAGAATTCGTAATCTTCATATTCACAGCTAAGCGCTTAAGCCTTGATATTGTAATTTGAATGTTTATTTTCATCTCTGTATGCGTACATGCCACCTTGTTTTTACGAAAACGTTAAGATTCTTAAACCCAAATGACTTGTAATGAAAAAACAGTTATTGTTAACTCGCTTGGAAATTAAAAAAAAATCCAGGCCTTTTTAAGAAAAAATACAAATAACACCAAAACATAATGAAAGCGAGAACAATTTGATAAATGCGCAACCATGTAGAAGTGACATCTCTTTTTCTGTCACATAGTTCTTAGTTTTCTGTCACCTCAAGATAGTTTATAGAAATTCTATAAATATGCTTGTTCGTTTCTCAATTTAAGTTACATTTCTTTTACTGCTGAAAAAAAATAATGGTTATCTACACTACTTTTCGCCTGTTTTCGAAAATACATTCAGATTTATTTTGAATGGCAAAAACGGATATTAGAAGAGGACTACTATATGACAAAAATTTTCTAAAGCAAAATTTTGTGAAACGAAATATATCTGTGCACTGTGTATAAATTAAGTGTAATATTTGTCTAATAGACTAAAAATTATAAAAATTTTATTTTCGATGCTTCTCTCAAAAGAGAAATATCATGCGTAGCCAAGAATTCAGTTCTTTTAGAGATTTTATTAATGAACTGTCCGAAGATAACTGCCTTATCAAATATTGTTCCTGTTTAGTATAATTATTCGATTAAATTAAGCAATTTATTATTACCTATACACGGTTTTACAGTACCAGAGATACAAGGGAAGTAGAAGGGGTGGAGTCCTCCCAGACGACTCGTAATCTCATGGCAATATAGGATTGGAAATGATATGTGCATGCGATAGTGTAAACAGAAAACGCCAGAAATGAAAGTTTAGAATCTAAGTAAATACACTGGTGTGCAAAAATGGCGAATAATCAATCTGTTAGACGACATCTGGATGCTTTTACCCGAGGTCGAATCATTGGGAAGTTGGAGGAAGGCCGCAGTGTAACAAGTGTGGCTGCAGAGTTCGGAATTGGCCACAGCATCGTTTCACGACTTTGGAGATAATTTCAAACTACAGGAACAGCTATCCGGGGGTTTAGTAGTGGTCGTCCACGAGGAACCACATCCGCAGATGACCGGTATATTGCCTTACAGGCCAGAAAAAACAGGCGGCAGACAGCGGGAGAAATCGCTAGACACACGACACAGGCGACTGGACGACCGATATCGCGTTTTACCGTGGCCATAAGACTGCACGGTGGTGGTATGTTTGCACGACGCCCTGTACGGTGTGTACCTCTAACGCCTGCCCATCGGAGAAGGCGTTCTCTGTGGTGCCGGGAACACCGGAATTGGAGAGACAATGAATGGGGACGAGTACTCTTTACAGATGAGAGGAGATTCAGTCTGAGTAGCGATTCTCATCGCATACTCATCTGGAGAGAGCGGGGAAGCCGCAATCATCCCTCGAACATCATTGAAAGGGACAGGTATGGAGGTGGCGGTGTTCTCGTTTGGGGAGGCATCATGCTTGGTAGTCGTACACACCTTCACATCTTCGACGCAGGTTCAGTCAACGGGACCCGTTATTGTAACGAGATTCTTCTTCCATATGTGCGTCTTTTTAGAGGCGCTATGGGTCCGCAATTCCTTTTCATGGACACCATGTCATCGCACAGTAGCTGCCGAACAGCTCTTAGAGAGTGAGGATATTGAACGTATGGATTGGCCGGCACGATCTCCGGATCTCAATCCCATCGGGCATGTATGGGATTTTCTAGGCAGACGCTTGGCAGCTCGTACCTTACCACCAGTAACGATTCCGGAGCTTCGATTGGCGCTGAAAGACGAATGGGCAGCAATGCCTCAACAACTCATTGACACCCTCATTCTCAGCATGGGCAGACGCTGTGAAACCTGCCTAGCAGTCAGGGGAGATCATATCCGCTATTAAAGACCGGATGTTTCTTGCTGGACACCCATCACAGGGATGTTTCTGCCTTCAGTCGCATTGCGCTCCATGCTACTTTTTCAATAAAGCTTCTTTTTATCCCTCTGATTTCTCTTTTAGTAAGTGTTGCTTATATTACTCATGTCCTTACGTATTGGGGATCTTACGGTATTAAATGTGTTGAATTGGAAAGCTTTTGTACAAAGTTATATTAAAAAAACCGTCTCCTCCTTAATTTTTGCACACCAGTGTATTCATTTTAATAATAAATGTCCATTTACAAGTGGAACAGATATCACATAAGATAGCTGGAGTGTCCTCCACAGCTGTAACTAAAATTTTATATCTTCGGCGCATGGAATTACAAATATGTTAAACGATTCCGGCATGTTTCTCACTTCCTAGAGAGCTTTTGCAGTGCATGCAACAAATTCCTCTGCTTTTATATCTTCGCGTATCTGTCTGTTAAGTTTATTCTGTGTTGCCAAAATTTATTCGAGGATGTCATGCATCAGTATTTTCATATGTCTGTAGAAAAAGTACTAAGTCATGATAGAGCTGGCTATCGAACAGGTCGGTAAATCGAATATATCACTCTTGATCCAGTGTTGGCCAAATATTACACCTAAGTGACCCCATTTACCAGATGCATATAGACTAATTCCACGTTCATACGTATATAAGTATCTGCGCATTATCTGTGAAACTAAAGAAACTAAACTTCTTCGCGAGAACGCTCTGAACAACGCCGTTTGCCGGATCAGTAAAGCATTTCCGACCCTGCCCTGCTGTACGATTTCGAGTCGTTTGTGTACCTTAAAACTCCTATAAATTTGTAATCGTGGTACTGAGATTCAGTATTTCGATTAGTCATATAATAATATGATCTATGTCACAGTACAGACTGGTGGCATTGAAATATGTCTGAGCTGAAAAATATTTGAAGCTGAAATTCTTTTCACACAGTTATTTATGCAAACAGAATTAATAAAGCACTTTTTTACTTATTTATGTTATAATAATTTTATTGTTATTATGATTTCTTTAAAATAGTTAAGAATTTTCTTGTTTCAGCTTTCCTTTCCTTTGTTACGTCGCAGACTTGCGAAAAATCCCATTACGAGCGTTGTTTAAAGCAACTTCATTACTTCACGGAGAAAGGAGATCTCCTTTTTGCCTCTTCTGCAGAAGAACTGACACACGAATGCGCGTAAGTATTTTTATAGATTCTTCAGAACTGCAAAGCATACCTTGTTTTATCAGCAAATGATAATCGGTAATTTTCTTTCCCTCCATTGACGGGCACCCAGCCGACATAGGCTTGGCGACTATTCAGGCCAGAAATGGTGGCCACTTTATTGTTGGGAGCACCTAATACATAGATGGGCTTCCGTTACCTTCTATAAATGGACGGACAATGAGAGCCGTGCCTTGTCCGGGATTCGAACATGGGCCCTTCGGTACCGCAGTAGGCTTCCCTAACCACTATACCGTCTGAGCGCAGCATAATCGCTAAACTATTTGGAATTAAAAATCTGTCAGTACCATACAGAGAGTCCGGTACTAAAGTAGCTACCATACGTTGACATTTCTTTCTATGTAGAAGATAAGCATAAAATATCCTATAAATATGCACTGGGAAATGAATAGTTTGCGATTTACGAGACACTGTACAACAATGATAAGCCGGGTTCCAAGGATAGTTTAATATAGAGATTGACTTAAGACAAAATCACCAAACACCGATCAATATATACTGTGGCCAAAGATGAGCAAAACGTGTCTTATGAACGTATAAAGAAGAACACATATTTTGCGAGTTATTAGATGTTGACTATTAACGACAAAGTAGACGCAAACTACTTTGTCGTTAAAAAGTCGGCATCTACCTGCCCCATGCCGATGTATTTCGCTTCGGTTAGATAATATGTTCACTGTGTTGTCGTAATTCCTAAAAGAAAGGTCTGAGTGTCTAAACGAGACCAGAACTCGTTATAGGATACTCAGTGACAAAGAACACGAAGGCAGGTAGCCAGCGTAACCTCTTGTTAACTGATTTTCAGCATTTCATAATTCATACACTAATTAACTGCTAATTAATAATTCATTTATCTAGTTATTGATAATCAATAAGTTACTAGTTATCGGACTTTTATTACAGCAAAAAGCAAAATTCACACATTTATTATTCATTACTTTACATGCATTATTAAAACAGATTGTACCACGATATACCTCTTAAAAAGTCGATTGTAAGCCCATGATTTGAGTGTAAAAAAGGAATTAAATAAAGTAGGTTTTCAAACCATGTTGTTTTTGGTCTCGTGAATTGCTTTAGGAAAGAAAAAAAATTACATTTTGTATGGAATTAGGCAAAACGTTCTGATTAGTACGTCATTCTTCCTTCCGTTAGCAATCGTTTATAAAATATCTAATCAATAATATTCCATAATTTGACGAAACACGAAAATTATATGAATTAAGCCTTTTCACCTAAAAAATATGTTTCCTAAATTCTAAACGCTATCAAATGGCGAAATTATGGCAGACTCAAGTCTTAAATTGGAACCATTGGACTATGTTTAGCCTTTCAAATTATGTGTAGGCGTGCAGTTTGTTGAAAAAAAAATTGATAGCATTTATGAATGTCATACTGTTAATATTTATAATTTGCAAGCGGACTGCCAGTAATTTAGAATTTTTAATGAAACTAGTTCGATTTAATTAACGTGCATTTAATATAAAATAAATAATAAGGTCAGTTAACTTAAAAAGGAGATATTTTTCAAATCTCGTAAATATTTCTTGTACATAAAATTTTATTACAGTGTAAATTATGCCACTTATCAATTGTGCACTTATCAGAGATATGCATCGATCCATGCAATAAGAATAATTCAATAGTGTGATCGTAGAATATGATGAAAATTATATAGAGGGCAATGATATAATTTTAATGTTATAAAAGTCATGTATTAAAATATAATATTGATCGTGAGGAAAAAGTGTGCTTCCAACATAGAATAATTCATTCGCAGTTGCTACCTAACTTACTTCCTTGTACGAAGTAAAGGAAGTATTGTAATCACGAAACATTTCGGGTGTCATATTTTAATGAAAATGTCAATTTTGACCGCTTTTAAAACCATCTGAACGATGATTTTGCGTGACATCATGTATGGACAGAATAAAATTCTCTTTTTTCCAAAATGAATTTAAAGAATTAAAGAATTTAAAGAACTGTATTCCGAAGAGATCTTTTGTGACGTCTGTACGTACGTATGTATATATCTCCCATAATTCAAGAAGGAGTAGTCTCAGAACGTTGAAAATTTGTATATGGGGCTGTGATAATATATAGTTGTGCACATCGCTTTTTGGCTGTGATCGGCCGCACCAAAGGTATATAAACATATATATGTATATATATGTAGTAATTTCTGTAGTAAAAATGCAAACTTTTCAAATAGGCCCAATTAATGGGCCAACTCTGCTGTAATAATTTCTGTAGTAGTACACAGGCGGTTGAATCCGTGATGAATAGTCAGAATTTTGATGCCGTAGAATGCTAAAATGCCGATCCACAACGAATAAGAAATTTGGCAGTCAAGGTATATTTATTTATTTCATTTCAGTAAACATGTTGCGGCCACAATCAAGTCGGCACATTAACTGTGCCTATTCGAAGAAGTTAGCATTTTTGATAATTTGAAGCAAGAAGGAAGCAGCAGACAGACAGCAGTCCAGCCAAGCCAAAGCGTTGAAAGCAAGTGTGTTATGTTCAGGTGTGGTGGTGTGGTGTATTTAATTATGGCAAAGCACACTAGGGCTATCTGCCTAAGGGGAGGGATGCCTTTCGTGGAGGACTTTCTAAGGGAAACTGGCTCGTATACACGTTACACATGGGAAAACCACGAAAACGCCCATGCAGCCAGCCCGTTCGCGGGATTCGAACCTCGGACCGAACTACCAGTGTTCAGCGACTTTACCGCTCGGCCGCTGGTGGGCCCGTGTTATGTTCAGAGTGAAATCTTAATTGAGACGGAGTTAGTTTTCGTTATCAATGCATTTTGATTGGATGATTAATATTGCTGTAAAATTACTATTGGTTGCTTGAGTTATAGTTCCATTTACATCATTAGAATTATGTAAGAGTCCTATGACATACATTTTCTCGAAATGACGCAGTGTAAATAGAAGTTATTATTTTTAGAATACAAAAGGGAATTAATTTTTTCTGCTAATTTAATCTTTTACGTATTCTTTATATTTCTTACATATATATATAAAGCATCTAAATTAATTAGTAAATTGGAATAAAAGCAAGGCAATTCCTCTATAATATAATAGTTGCAACCGTCTATGAGAGGTTTAAAATTCATATAAAACCAAAAACTCGGAATTATTTCTACTTCAGTCCTGCAGCTGTAGCGCAGGACGGGTTTAAAAAAAATTGATTCTAGTTTTTAATTCGAAATTTTATCCTATTTATTTATTTGGTGCTTTCCCTCTATATTCATCTGTTCTCCCAAATTCGAGATCATTCCAAATAATATAACACTGCTTGAAAAAGGTAACTAAAACTAATATTGACCAATCTTAGAATACTTTCTGCGACTACGTAGTATAAATACGGCTTTGTGAGGAAGTAAGTCCCTTTTTTCTTCCTGACTTCTGCTATGCAAACAACCTGCGCCGCCTATGCTTTCCTGCTTTAAATGACGTAGTATCCCTCTAGCTGTGTATATAAGAAGTTATTTTATTCAAATATGATTGAAAAAAAATTGTCTGCCAAAGACATGATTTGAGATGTGTAAAAATCAAGATAGTGACTCTTCAATTTGGTTTTGTTATCTGCTTTATCAAGCCTTCGCACTCAGCCATTACTGTGTTCTCAGCCATCTACGCAATATCGAAAGCTGTTAAAAGTTCCAGTGCCTTCATCTACGCATTATAAATTACTACATATATATATATACCCACTCTGTTATTCGGCTCGGTTATCTTAGTATTTTTATTCTTATATGTTGGTAAATTGGGCATTTTTTGCTTTTAAAGTGATTGAATTATGTTGTTCCTTTATTTCGGTTAAGAATTTTATGCCTATGCAATAGTTGTAGAACTGTCAACAATTTAAAAGTTGTTTAATTGCGACTAAGCCTAACGGAACAGCGATTTGTTTACATTTGAAACTTAACAGAATTATGAAATCAATCAGTTTCTGCACCTTCAGTCTTTTTTTGCCGAGCGGGACCAAACGTAAATTTTCAGCTTTATGCTCCGAAAAGTCTGCCTTCTTGCCTGCTGACCGATTTGCTTGTTTTTGCGTAGAAACTGTAATTTTAATTGCAAAAGTTTTTTTAATTGTTTTAATTGCATCTGATGTTTTATGTTTTTCTATATTCTTCAATTATTAATGAAGATATTTTGAGTTTTATGTATTTTTGATTTGCCGTGAAGTGAGAACTGAATTAATTGAATGAGAAATATAACTCTAATGAAATTCGAGGAAATAAGTTTAAATGAAATGCAGCAAAAAATATGTATAAAGAAGTCATGTGTGTCCGCATCAGATTTTCTATTATCAATTTTTATATATTTTGCAAGCAGTATTCCTTAGAAATTTTAGAAAATTTAGAAGCCTACAAGTTATTTATTAGTTGACATTGTTTATCTGTGAATTACTGCTGTGCTCATTATGGATTAGTTGCTTGCTTATATAGTCTTAAACGATTTCCTTTTTCTTAAACTGAAAAAAACTTCAAATCTTTGCAAGCTAAAAGCAATCTTCCTTTCACTCTACTACAATTTGACTCCTTTCTTTGATTACGTTGACATGGTTACGTAGCAGCTGCACCTCCATTTTCTTTTGTTTTATTTGAGGTTTTTGTATTATTTTCATTTTACATAACAAGACTAATAGAAATGAAATATTTCTGCAGCTTTCTTTCATTTTATGTGTTAATTAATAGTTTATATTTTTGTAAAGAGCTCATAATGAGACAATGTAGCCTAAGTGGTTCAAATAAAAAGTAACACTCTAAATTAATTTTTTGACATAAAAGTTTAGTAATATCATGCCATGCTTAAAGTTATAAATTAGAAATAGAACTTTGGTTGCCAAAAAACAACTCTTGTAACATTACAGAAAAAATCTTTTATTCAGGTTACACTTCCAGGTCATTTGTGAATTTCTAACTTTTACTTATT